TTATAATTACGTCTGAAAAAAATGTTAAGACCTAAAAGTAATAATTTATGTTTTCTACAGAATATTTTACAAATAAATCAATTGCAATACCGAAAAACAAAAATCTACAGCAAAAATTATTTGGTGTACAATAATTTAAAATCTTAAAACTGCTCTCCTGTAAAATTTAGTGTTTGGGACATACAACTTTTGGCCTCTTAGCCATCGAAATATACTACTAGGTATACGACAACTGATTAATACGATATAATTGTACACTTTAAATTAATATAATAATATATAATGTGTGGAATAAATTATTTGAACAGCACATATTTGAGAAACGGCGTAAGTCAATAAAAGGTACTTCGGCCGAGAAAACAAGAAAAAACTATTTTCAAGGTACCAGTGATACATGGCTATTTCTCTCTCATGCTGATAATTTGCAGTGGAAAAATTAATAACAGTTGTCGCTGCTTATTGGATTCATTTTGGGACCTGACCATTTGAGTCCATTAACCGAATGAGTCAATAAGGCGAATAACCCCCAACATTTTTTTTTTAAATCCTTAAATTTTAAAACTTATTTGATTAAAAAATATTTATTGAGATTCAAGATATGTATGTATAAAAATAAAAATGTAACTATACGTAATTAAAAATAAAATAATATGTAATATAATAATGTATGTGAAATCTAATTAATTTTTCGATAAAAATCCATTTATGGTTGATTGGATTTTCCCTTCTTCGGCCAACTTCATAATCATATCTTTGTAGGATTTATGTTGCTCGAATACATAAAAATCGCCCTTTGCTGAATTCCTCTACGTAAAATTTGAAGCTCAAAATACCGATACCGACTTATTTCGCATTTATAACAAGTTTTTTCAGTGTATGTACATATTTTATTTATTTATCTAATTTTCAAATGACCCTATTAACCGGTGTGTGAGTTGAATAGACGAATTGTTTGCTGTGTGTTAGTATATGTGCAAATCGGGACCAGCCGTTTTGAGTCTAATAAGCGAATAAGTCCAATAAGCGGCGACCATTGTATTTTATTTGCAAATGTTCACACATAGTCCGTCTTTCGTTTAATAACACCTTCCTCTCAATTTGTGATATTTTGTGACTTACACGTGGTTCCTCAAATAGGTGGTTCATTAACTATTTTGAGATAGCATACTGGAAATATTTAAAAAAAACAGAATATTACAAGCACTATACTTTGCCTAAAAATCTCGTGAGAGTGGAAAATCTTCCAGGGGAGGCAGCTACCTCCCTTGCCATCCTCTGTTCTCAAGCTTATGGACCGTTGATCATTTATAGATTCTAACTAGACCTATCCCCTGTGCGTACTATAGACGGGGATATCCCAAGTGTGTCTTGTTTTTAATTTTTATCATTTTCATAGTGCGAGTGTGTCCCCAGCCTTTCACCGTGTTTTACGTTTACTCGACGAACGCGGCAAACACGAGCGAATTCTGTTTTGTTTATTGTAACGTCGTCGCGCTCACGTAGGAGTGTAGAACACGACGTTATCGACAAATTATATTGAACAGTCAATGTGCATCCTTAACCCACAGCTATAGTAGGTATAATAACAGCTATATAATAATTTATAGCTATAATAGAATCTCATATGGAATAGTAAGAAGCCTGCAATTTTTGATATTTTTATTAATTAATTAAGTAATCATTTAATAAAAAACTTGAAAAAAAAACTTGTTAATAATTTACCATGCAATATCGAATGATTGGAATACGATATCAAAAATCAGGCTTTTTAGGTTTCTAGGAACAATTTTCATAATATATATTTATACTGTAAAACCCTTCAATAATACACGATTCCAATTAAATTGCTATCGCTACCGCTACCGTTGCAGTGTGTGGGGACCTTTACTTGAAGTACAAAAACACTTTTTTCAATAAAAAATGTTCAATCACATCCGACATATTGTGCTGCACCAGTAATAATTAGCGGCTGACACTCATCATACCACCACCCCGCGCGTGATAGCGACGGTACCGCACCTCTAAACAGGTTTTCTACCACAGCAGCGCATAGTTTATAAAACATACTAATGCACACTAAATTTTTTAATAAAAAGATACCGGTCTGACGATCGAATATTATGATGGTTCAAAATTTTTACGGTTATACGTAGTTTGTACAACTATTTCTATGACAACGGTGTAGAAATTGAATTTTATTTTAAGTTTGATAATAACGATTACAACTTGCTCATTTACGGCTAATAAGAGCTAGTAAACTTTTAAGTCAATATTAAAAATTTAATCTTACTACTCACCTAATAATTAAAAATGGAGCACATACCAACATCAATTTTTGATTTTTTTTCATATCTGTCGTTTACAGTACAAAGTTTTATAATTAGTAACATGTTATAAAATAATGATAACACTAAATGATAAGTATGTATGGGGAATCACGATGAACCTTTTTTTCAGGTAAACGGGAATTGGTAAACCAAAATGTAAAATTTCAAACAGGTAGACCAGGTGATAAGGCCATTATTTTAAACAACTTTTGATGGAAACATCTAATGCACTTTTAAAATTAAGAAAAATATTCTTTAAATAAATCTGAATATTTTGTTGTTTTTTCATTCAATGTTTATTTCATTTAATAAACCTTCATTACAATTTTCATCCATATTTTCTATACAAAATAATTTGATATTTCACATCTGCCAGGTAGATAATATTCAATCCGGTATGTAAACGTTTAAATAAAAATTAAAAACATATAAGAACATTAAAAGCCAGGAAAAAACTTTAATTATATAGAATATTCTTTTATCAATGAAATTAATAAACAAATAATTTAAAAAAACTAAAATTTAATTTGTAAAATATGTATATCAATGTATTTTTATGAGGTTTAAATTATATATGTGCTGAATACTGTTATTCAGGCTAAAAAAATTTCGTTTGAATAAAATATTTAGTAAATTAATAGTCCAAACATAGATCATTTGCATTATGAATAATATGACAGTATATATTGTTTAAACTTATGAATTTCCATGTAGGTAAGAAAATATCATTCATCAATCATCAGTCAAGCATAGGTAATGTTCGTCTTCCGACTTATATTTCCGATATAATTGATTTCATAAAATGTCAAATATCTTGAAAATGTTATACTATACGTTAATTATAAGTTATTTTTGATTTCAAAATATCGAAAACACATATTACATTGTAATATACAATCATATTTTTGTTAAAAATCGTTTAAGTTTAAAATATTTACAAAATTAGTCTTAATCTCAAAAATATATACACTATTTAGTATTTGGAAGTAGACAATTTATACGATTTTCAATTTTTATAGCTAAGTTCGGAAATGTTTTACTAGTTTCTCATCAGTTTTAGTAGTTTTGCTAATCGCAGGAATTTTAAAAAATATATTGCGTAAACCGTAAAGCTGTATAATAACAATTTTTTTTATTTTGTTATTCATCAAAAAATATTTATTATTGACGCTTAAAACATTGCACATCCTTAAATTATCATTTATTATAATAGGTACACATTGAACTAAAAAATAATAATACATTTAATATATAAGCAACAATAACCATGTCCTCTATAAAGACCGAAAATTGAATCTCTAAAATAGTAAGCTAAATATCTCACTGACTTTCCTAAAATCCCCAAACCACTTGAATCCACTAATTAAACATTTCTTCCATCATTTATTCATTTCCATTATACAATACCATGATAGTCGACAGAATTAAATAATTTAGTTTTGTACATTTTTCATTTCTGGAAATCACTATAGTTATGCTGAATGCCTATAAGTAATAATAATTACACCGTAATTCGCTGATGGGGGAAATCGTACTCGCTGTCTCGACGACAGTTGTCAGCAGCACATTTCAAACAAAAATATTTAATTAAATAAAAATGATTACGTAAATGTACGTTTTATGTGGTAAAAAAGAAGAAGACTACAGTTATAACTTAAAGACGAAATGTTCACCAAATAAAAAAGTGAACTTGATCTGTGCAATGTTGTATTTTTTCGACATCTAATTAGGTATCAATATCACAAGCAAGTTTATTCAAGTTTGAAAAACACAAAAACAATGGATTTTGAAACAACAAGAACTTTTTTCGTATAAGTGATATCAAAAAAATAAAAACAGTACTTCACGTCTTCGCAGATAATGTTTTCGTCTATATTGTAATACTAGTGTACATCAATTTGGAGTGTTTTTTTTTTTTGTTTTTACTATCACTCACTACAGTAAACCTAAGTGATTTGCAACTTCGAGGTTCAATTTTTCTCAATTATTTATTTAACTATTAAATTTGATTATTCATAAAAGTATGCTAGGATCACACTTCATATTTTAAGTCGTCTAAATTGAAAACACGATTATAAGCTGTAAATCTTTTATATTTTTACTCATCGCAATTTTTTATAAACGACAATGCTGTATATTAATAATATATACCAATATCGAATAAAATATTTGTTGAGTTTAAGAAAAAATATATTATTAAAGAATTAATTTGCTACATGAAGTACATATAAACACATAGACATCGTAGGATTCTAAAGATCACTTAAACATAAACAGAATATTGTTGATATTTTAGAGCTCTACGTTTTTGAGTTCACCTATAATTTATAATGTGCATTTAAAAGAGAAGAATTAATTTTAAAAGTTATTGTGATCCATCTCAATTATCGTTCATCATGATATGCCATATGCGATAACGGCGTCTGCGGTATGGACATCATGGCTAGCCGAGTTGTTGGCCGTCGACCATTGGGGGCGCAACCAAACGGTACCGACAGCGCGAGCGGGCAATAATTTACTACCGTCTGACCCGGCGCAACGCGCAAGGGAACCAGATGGCACGGCGACGCGGTGCTCGGGGAAGGGGGGGGGGGTGCTAAGAACCGGCGCGCATTCTCCGCTGTACGGAGCATGGCGCGAGCAACGCCGCGGCGGGCCACTCGAGACCAGGCCCGGGAGCGCGCTGCCGTGTCGTGGCCCACAACAACATACAACGTCGCTGGCGGCCCTCGTCCACGGCGTTCGTTTTCGGCCTGTCCGGAGCATACCATCACCCCCTCCTCCCCACACCGTGCGCCGTTATCATCGTCGACTAGCCGGCTGACGACATTCCGTACCGACGCCTCCGCACCGCGCTGTTCTCCTACTCCGACGCCACCCGAACGCAGCTGCATCGTGCATAGTAGGTATTTCGAGTGGAAGCTACACGCGGACATATGTTGTCGTCTCCGTCTTACAAGACGTGCGTGCAACGCATACGCTTTAATTTGCGCTCGGCAGATGACGTTTGGCTGCGTTGGTTTAGAAATTAGAGTGAATCGACCTATTATGAAATCCGATGGTAAGGATGTAATATTATCTGTGTATGTGTCTGTGAGTTTTTTACGATGATTTGGTTTTTGAGCAAGTTTTGAGCACTTTTGATTTTCGCCGTATTATAGGTACCTAATAAAGTTATGTAGGTACGCAAAACGTGCTAAAGAAATTGAACTATCCTAAAAAACCCTCATACTAATGCAGATAATATTCTAACCAGCAGGTTTCGTAATTGATCTATTCTCTCTTAATTTTTAAACTAACGGACCTAAACATGATTTGTTGAGCGCAAATTTGCAATGTTACGAACTTGTAAGACTAGAGATAACAAATGCCGGTGTAGCGTCCTGTTAAAATATTTATTTAATATATACAAAAATATACCAACTTATACATTACTCACTGTACATTTAAAACAATATAAATACTATGCAGAATATTGAATGTTGATAAAATAAAAGTTGTGGTTTTTATTTATAACAATTCTCAACCAGTTGTTAGTTGATACTTGAAACAGAGTTTAGGACATCTGTGTAATGATAATACAATCATTAAAATATTTATAATTTATATAACAGATGTTAAATACATAATTTATGGAGACATAGGTAAATCATTTTAGTATTAAATATTTTAATTAAAAATGTTGATGTTATAACAATAAATATTGTTTATAATTTTTAACTAATTGAAAAAGTATAAAAATATGACTGATGACAAGTTGCTGATAATAACTGAAAAGTAACAGGCTTTGGATAACTTGAGTTTTTTTTTTTAATTTAAATTTAAATGACCTTTTAGACAGTGACTATTAAATTTCGGTTCCTTAAGTACAATAATACTATTGAAAGAACAAATAATAATCTGTAGGTATATAATAGCAAGACATAAATTTATTTTTTTACTTTATTTTAAAATTGTTTACATTTCAAATATATATTACAAGTAAAGAATTATTACTATTTACTATCAATCAGCCCAGTTGAAACACAAGACATACCTAAGTAATGTCATTATGATTTTAAAAAGTAAATAGATATTTGGGATCAAACAATAATATATTGAAAAATATGTATCATTTAGACCTTGATTATGAAATCATAAGAATTTGTAAGGTATAATGTATTTCATTATATTTACCAGATTATAAATATATTCTAGTATCTATTTATCCAGTATGAAAATACATATTAACCACCTAATAAAGTATGACAACACTGGGTTATTTCTTTAATAAATACATCAAGTTGTTCAAGAAGATAATTTACAAATTTATGTTGGTAAAATAACAATTTATAAATTATATAGTGCCTTGCTTATCTATAGTTTTTAGCTCACAATGTGTAAATATTCAACACATAAAATGTTATTCATTGTGTACAGGCAAATTTTGAGACCACATCATGTGACATATTGCGAGTTTGACTATTTAAAAATATTCAACACCAAGGAGAGCTGATAAATTTAAATTTAATTATAAACAATTGATAGGTGAACAAAAGTAAAACTTAAAAGAAATGGATATGTTATTTGCATCAGCGTTACAAATTAGGTTAAATTTTATAATCAATACAAAATAATTTTAATATGCCTAAATGAATCATTATTTATTTATAGTCTGGTATTCTTTAGTCTTAAGCAACAAAAACCAAAAAAGTAAAATTTCCTGCTGACCATAGAACATTTTGCCTTAACACTATAGATATACATTTTTATTCGGCCCTGGTTTAAAATATTGTACGTAGCATATTAGAAAAAATCTTTAACCTTATCCAAAGAATATAAGTCGATATTACATTGACATAAACACCTTTAGTCAAGAAGCATTACTTCTATTTCTTTAAAAGCTAACAAATAACAAAGTAATTTAGTAAATGTCTTACAGTTTAATTAATAAATGCATTCAAATTAATTGCAATACTATCACATTTCTGTTTATAATATATAATCAGTGTTCAGAACGGTCACTAAAAAAAATCAATTTGTTCATGTATCCTTCAGTCCTTAAAAAAAGGAACTCGTTCACGTTCAAGTCAGTATTTTTTTCAAATTTAAGTGTTTACGTTAATGTTCATTAAAAAAATGAATGCGTTCTCTAGTTCGTTCATTTAATTTTTTTATAAAAGGAATTCCATTAAGAAAATATTAATGTATTATATATTAATCAATACATTTTAAATATATTTTTTATTAAATAGGAATTAATTTGAGCTTCTTAAAAATTGTTCAAATTCATTAAAATATGAACGTTGTTTATGTTCAATTTGAAAGAAACTAGTGACATTACGTGCCATCGTAAATATAATGATATAAAGATAATGAACTAATAAGTCATAATATGTGATGAAATTGTGCATTGCACGTATCTTGCGCCACACTCAATGTTTCCATTCAACCATTTTTGGTGTCCCATATTTGTTGTAACTCTAAAAAAAGTTACTGTAGATATATGAAACTTTCACTAAATGTCACTATTAGTATTTTCTATACACAATAAAATTATAAAAATATTTTGACTCATATTGAGCTATTTATAGGCAAATGAAATTTACAATTATTTTTGGTTTTTTTAAAATTAATATTAATAAAAAATATTTGCTTGTTCAAAAAACTTGAAAATAAAATACAAGGTTCTTCATAAGTTAAAGTTGTTAAATGTGTGGAAATTAAGAAAAAAGTTAATACATAATAATTTTTATGAGCGTTTGAATTTGAAATTTTTACAACATTGGATTAAACTCGATTTATTATGTAGCGATTTTCTTATTTTGTTGTTATTCAAAAACTAATGTTTATAGATAAATAGTGATTTAGAAATAACGAACCTATCTAATAAGGATTCAATTAAAAAAATATTTTGATTATTTTTATTAATTGTTGTAGGCAATCTATTCTTATCTATTTCACCACTGCCTGAATCAACTATAAAACTAAATAAACTAATGAAAAGTTCAACATGGATCACAATAGTATATATATATATATATATATGTGAAGACATTTCAGGTAAGTTTAAACTATTAAAAATATTAGGAGATTTCAATTATACTATATAATATTGTGGCAAAAAAGAAGCTTTCATAAAATTTAAAATTTAAATCAATTAAATAACTTTTTTATTAATTTATCAATCAATAATTGATTTTCGATTTTATTATTAACTTACATATTTATTTATTATATTGTATTTGTTCTTAGATAGGTACAATATTGATCATTTTATTTTTAAATGGTAAACATTGTATTTTATATTTTATCTGTTATAATAAAATAATACAATATACTAAAATATAGTTAAATTATAATTAATTATTATTTACTTATTACTTTTGTTCTAGAGATTGTAAACAAAACTTTACCAGTAGTACTTTATGTTTTATAGGCAGCATTCTGATGTGAATTATGTTAAATACTTTATGTATTTATTATTATTTACCAATTTTGGATTGATATTATATAAGTTCAAAGATAAATTTATCTTGAAATGCATATGAATAATTTTTTGGGCCCTTCAATCCCTCATTAGTTATGCTTATGGAAATATTGAACTTCAACTTTCAACTTTCAAGTATCAATTTTCAATGAAAATATTCATAAATCCTAATATAATACAGTATAGGTATCGAAGTTATCAAATGCCGCTGTAATAGCTCACAAATATAACAAAACAAAAATATTCCCAAAAAAATCAATCATCTTTAATTAAATAATATATTACTTACAATACTGTTAAATATAACATGACATTTTGACATGTAACTGATAATTAATATTAGGTATATAATTTGTTTTTATCTTTTGTATAGGTATTGCATGCCATACAGCATTACACACTTATATAAGGACCTACGCAAGAATGCAAAATTATTATCGTTTTAGATAATTGGCTAAAAGATTAGACATTTAAAATGTATGTTATTATGAGTTATAATCAACCTTATTCTTCAGAAGCTCAGACACTTACCACCATGGTACCATCCACTTTCACTGATGGTTTTGGTGCCATTGCTGGTGAGTATTTTACTTATGTAATGTATAAGCTATACCATTTGTTAAATTAATAATTATATAGTTTATAAGGTATACTATTTGTTAAACTAATAACTAAACGATATTGTTTAAAATTCATATTCATAGCTGGAAGTAAAACTGATTCACTCATTAGCTTAAGGCCTAGTGTATTACTTTTATTTATCTAATTTTCAATGATAAATTGATTGACTCCCTATACAGATACAATCAAGTATAGGGTATTTATAAATGTAATGTATCTTAAATTGAGGTAGATACTGCAGAGTAGGGTGTAATTTGAATGAAATTGTATTTAGATGATCATTTAGAATTTAGATAATACTTTATTAGATCCAATTATTATTCAGATGATTTTTTCACAATTATTCTAATGTAAATGTATTCCAATAATTTGAAAATATTATTATTCTAATTAAAACTATTTGAATAATTGTCAACTATGATTATTCGAATAAAAAATTAAACGACTAAATTTCAAACATAGTTAATCGAATAATTTTCCGTTATTTTATTAGAGTAAACATGACTGATAATATGTCAATAGAAGAAAGTAAAAATTATATATCTATATTTTTTTAATAATATTTTAATTATTATAATAATTTAACAATATTAAAATAAGAATAATATTTAAACATTAATAATGAATAATAATATTCCGTAATAATTACCACAGTAATAAAATATAGTAATAAAAATAATGAAAATAAATAACTATAACAAATTTTGAATTTCAATAAATAAGTCTAATAATAGTAATATAGTAACTAATATAATTGTTATTCAAATACATATTAACAAATAACAATATACTTATTAGTTATTATTAAGTACTTTCATGTAGAACAACTATGTAATAACAAGACACAAGTAAACATGAGGATAATCTTTAAAGTTTATACTCCAATATAGTACAAAGTATATTTGACAAAACCACATTTTCAATGTTTAGGTATCATAAAATCAAACAGATCATTTTCATAGCTTCATATCTACATCTACTTTTATATTTTTGTGTAGAGCTCTATATTTGAACTTATAAATATGAGGTACAACTTATGTACCTATATATACGATAATAGCCAAATACCTATATCCAATAGCTAAATGGTATATCGTAAATGAATATGGAATGTGTGTGTTCAGAACAAGTCAGATAATAAAAACTAACACAACGTTTGATTACCTAGTAAATTATTAAAAAGATTTATTTAATTCAATATTTAACAGAATAATTAAAGTAATTATGAATTTAAAGTTATTCTATCTAATCCTTAAAAGGCTGAGACTATAGTACCGAGACTGGACTATTATTGTTACCTAAGTATAACACAAATGTCTTCAATATTAATACATAGTTACTTCTGAATTACAGGGTACATACTACAAATATGTAGACTTACTAGAAAATAAATAAACATTATACAATGCATATTTTGTATTAATATATGTTTGAAAATTATTCAAATAGGTACATTAATTTCATTCAAATAATCATAGTTGAAAATTATTCCAATATATTTTTATTCAAATAATTGTAAAAAAGTCATCCAAATAATTTTTTATTCAAATAATTATCTAGATAAAATTTTGCACAACTCTGCAGTACATAGAACCTAGTACAGACAAATTCAAAAGATCATCTGCTCTGAATTGACGGTTTAAAACTATTAAATCCCATGAGATGTTTTGAACAAAAAGAAAAAAATGTCTAGCACAAACTCATAATAATTTGTAAGTTACTATTTTATTTATTTTTAATCTTAATGTGAATTTGATCGGTTAAATTTCATGATTTTAATTAATATACATATTCAATTGCTTGCTTAAGTTCTTAATCATTGTTATGTATGATGATTAAAAATGTTTCCATTCTGTTTTGATAAGGTATCTTATTCAAGATTCTCTTGTAAATTTATTTGGATGTGTATGAAGTAAATTTATTTCCTTCAATAAATTTGTACAAATTCTATTGTATTCCATTTGCTTCAGCTTACAAAACATACAATAGACTCAGTTCTCCATAACATGTATGTTCGTGGCATAGAACTTGTAGATAAAATATTTGCAAGATAAGTGTACAACACGTAATGAAAAACAAGGAACTATGTACAAATTATTAAAAGTTTTTCAGTCAATGTGTGACGAGAATGAATTTAATATGGCTCTAAAATTATTTAACGTGAACTAATAAATAACCCAAACACTAGGGACTTTGATATATATTTTGATGGAAAGTATGAAAATTGAGTTAACTTTTTTTTATCAGAAAAGTTTAGCTGTCGAGGAGTAAAATTATAATATGCATCTTGAATAAATGCACAAAGCAATAATATATCACTCACAATTCAAATGCTTGTAAAGTTAGATAAAAGTATAATAACTAATAGACGATATATCCGTGATAAAAGGATTATTAGATTAACTAAGATGAAAATAAATTTTGAGGATCCAACGTATAAAAAAATCAATATAAAAGTACATTACTTGACCTTCCAATTAAGTACTAACCAGGTCAGCATTAATAACTAGTATGAAAGTGAATATACCAAGTCAATTTTATAAAATAATTAAAAATGTGATGCTGTATGTTGTTCAATGATATAATGTTCTGCTTATAAGTTGTGTATTCATACATTTCAATAAACTTGCCCTGATTACAAAATAAAGTCATATATATATGTAAGCACACATTTTGTTTCTCTAAGGATGATGTCAACAGAACATTCTGAAGATATTCTTTTTTGACATATACAAATAATATAAATCATTATTTGGATACTATTGTAAACAAAGCAATGACGATGAAATACTAGGTCATATTAGGAGATCAGGAAGTAAAAAAAAACTGTAAATATGTAAGAAACTTAAAGAAAAAGCCATTAGCCTAGTCAACAAAGTAAACAATTAAAAAATGTTGAACATCTTATATCCTTCCAATAATTAACAGTAATCGCCATCAATAAAAAAGTGAAAAATTGACAGATCACCAATAATAATCGTTCTGATTTCACAATTTGAATCACAAAATGTTCAGATTTTAGATAAATACCTACTTAAACACCACAGATATACAAAAGTTACAATTTTCTGTTCTCATTTTGAATTTTGATAACAGTCTCATATATTGATAATGGATGAAAAAATTTTGCAGTGCATGTTAGCGTATTTGTCATTTTTGTTTTGTTTCCGTGTCATGTCTTTTTGGCCGAGTTATGGTGTTCGTTGGTAATCATGGTTATATTATGATGCAATTTTTAAAAATTAAATGTATTAGTATGATATTCTTCTTCTTTTTCTGACATCTAATATTACCTATGATATTATGATTGACTTCAGACAGCAGTTCAGTATTCTGGTTTTCAGAGTACTCAAAATTCAGATTTCGCTTTTCAGTTTATTAGATGTTATTTATATTATACGGTGTACAAAAGCCTGCATTACTGTGTTAAGTGAGTAGTTTAGATGCTCTTTTTTTAAATTTTGCAGAAATACAATACTATTTATGATAAAAAAGAAAATTTAAGGAGAATTTAACTGGATTCATTAATGTATATTTCTGTATAATTTTTGTTTTAATATATTAAGATGAAAAAAAATGCAATATAGTATAATAATACTCTAGGACGCTGATAACTGTTCCTTTCGTAACAACAGGTGGGCTTCACTAATAAATCGATATCTTTCTTTTATCAACTGTACAATTGATAAGATTAATCTTGCTAACGAATATAATTTTACAATCGATAGTAGAATCGATAAATAGATATCGGTGTTTGGAAGAACCACCGGTAGCTCCACGAACACGAGAAGCGCTAGTAGAACCATTCAGTAGCTGACCACTCTCATTGATAAATGGTGTTAGTAATTTAGTATCGTACCGGTAGACGCAGTTATTGTATCAGTTCTGGAGCTTAGTATACAGCGTGAGTGTGATTGACTCCACTCATATTTCATAATAATAATAACGATTAATGTTAAACGTCAGTGTTTTATTTTTTATTAATTTATATTATAATTGCCACCATGTATTCCGACAAAGTCAACCCATCACCGTCCGCCGTGCAAGTAACCGTAAGTTATCTCTTCCAGCAAAGCTGATTTTGTATATTTATTTTACCCCTCGAGGTTAGTGAGGAATCGAAATTTGTTTCAATTCATCGAAATATTCTACTTCTCCGAATCGCTAAGGACCATTTATGCAATAAAGATAGGCTGCGCGTTTCTTCCACTATGGCGAGCGGCACCGTCAAAAATTTTTTTATTATTTTTTTTCAAAAGTATGAAAAAGATGTAATTTGTTTTCACTCTCTGATCCAGAGAGAATTTGTAACATAACAAATTTGCAAAACCATCTGCGTGTAGATAGTGTGTACATTTATGCGTGGTACAATTAAAAATTATCCTATGCTTTGAAGTTGAAATATTATAAAAAAAAAACTATGATTAGAACACAGTTAATGTTCTCAATTTTAAATTATATAATAGGTAAATTCACTCTAACATTAAAGCTAACAACTGAAGGTTGGTTTCGCTGAACGCCAATTTAGCATGTTGCGCACGTCAGAGAAAACAAATGGCGCGCTTAACCCAACATTTAGTGGTAACTGGTAACTCCTTGTTAACTTTCATGGCAGAGAAATGTAGATATGAACGATTCTCCGAATTGTACCTATACTCCCAAGGTCAATATATGATATTATTATTATAACCATACATAGTTTCCGCCAATTTACCTGCCAAGATCAAAGTATTGTGAAACAACGGTCAAAGAAAATTTATTTTTTCTTATATTTTAATTTAACACAGCTTGCAGTATATAATTTCGGAAAGTGCTTACACAAACGTATACATGCATATATATTTATAAATAACTTACATTTTTTTTATAGATAGGTATTATTTGTTAACATTTTCATAGATATGAACTATTGAAAAATTATTTCAAGTTAAAATTGTATTATTTAAGATTAAAATGCTTTGAAAATAATAATTTTTCTTTTTTTGCATACAACATACACGAATTATTTTTTACACGCTTATATAATGACCTACGCAAAAATGACAAAAAATATGAAATATAAGTATAATGGTTTTATTAAAGCAGACATATTAGCGAGAACGGTACATTCCCGATTGATTAAACCTTCTTGCTCAAGGTTAATATAAATATTGAACCTAACATTTAACATATATATATATAAACCTTGACCCTTGCACTTTGCACCACAAGTTTATGACCGCTCTAGCCTCATATGATAAGGCTGAACGCGTAGCAATCTATATATTATATGTCCCAAGTCTGATTTACAGTTACCTATCGTATTATAATTTTCCATTGTAATTATGGTTTCATTCATTTCATGGAATCAACTTGAGAGGAGGGGAGTTTACTTGTTGTTTATTCCCCCCCCCCTCCCCCCATTGTATCGGCCCACGGGGATGAAAAAGGTAAGGTGTTTGTGTCGTCGTAATTATCTGCGCTTGCGCCACACTGGTTTTGTCATTGTTGTACATAATGTAATACAGCTAGTAGAATCGTTTGCGGGGATTTTTTCCTAATTGTTGGCTAAATTCTGTCCAACTGACCAAAACACGTTTGGGTACATAATACATATTACACCTTTAATAAGCGCGGTTTGGGTACACCGTATATCTAGAAAAATAACACGTTTGGGTAAACAAATCAATACTACATTTGGACCCACTTTGAAACCACTAACCACTGATACACAACCGTGGTTTTTTCAGGATAGTGTTTATTTAATTATTTACCATTTTTATTATGATGAAATCAGGCCTGATTTTAGTGTAAACGATAACCTTTGACAATATTTTCTTTATCATACATTATTATCTTGTTATTCGATTACAGGTAATTCATATTTCATATATGATATAATACTTAAAACATATCGATAATATGCAAATTGTATTTACAAAATAGGTAGTGGGTAAAATGTACAACTATATATAGGTACTTTATGTTTTGATATAGTTTATATCAGGGGTCAACAAACTTTTTTACTTCAGTCGTACAAAATTAAAAACTTTTTGCGATCTAAAACATAGATTATACAATCTGTAATTTATAGTTTTTAGTTTTATAAAAAAAAGAAATTTAATGAACATAATAAATTAATAAATAATAGTGGGCAATTCAAAATATTCTAATTATATCAAGAAATTTCAAATTTTGTTAAGTAAAGTTTTATGCTTATCATTTTACATAGGTACCTTATCTTAGTTTTATACTTGTGTATGGTTTAAACATAGCCTTATTAACATATGAACTGCGTGTCCCCTATGCTCTACCATAGGTTGCCATGTTTGTTATTTAAATATTCTCTATCTCTCTTGATATTAATGGGTATTAACGGTACCTAAGTTGTATACTATATTTTTCTAACAATGTTGGCCTCAGGATGGCTGGACCTCTTTCTGTTATCAGACCATTTTTTTATGTCTGTGGTTTGGAATGAATTCGTAATAATAGCTCCAAAATGATGTGGCCTACTGAATTAGTTTTTTCCAATTTTTCGTCATAATTTTTAAATTTTTGAAATCATTTAAATATGCATTAAATTGTTTTTTTGGTAATTTTATACTATTTCAAGTGCATTTGTTCAATAAATAGGCATTGTTTAGGCTTAGGATATTTTCTGATTTGTTTAGAGCATTTTCTATAGCTGTTTTTTTGTATTAACCCGCTGTCCCTAGCATAGGAAACTTATGTTTACGTCACAGATAACGTGGTCACTGGTCAGTGCGTCGATAAAAAAAAATTGAGATGAAATGTATTTTTTAATTTCTCCAATTTGATGATAAAAAATATAACAGGTACATATTATATTCTTACAACGGACGGACGGTGTAGTTAATCACATTTTACACACTCGTCAAGGTTAACTATAAACATATTAGTGATTGATAAATGGTGAAAATACCAATAGGTACTATCTCTACACGACGAGTACCAACTGCAAACCGCGTTCGACGTAGAATCGTAGAGATGTTCACGTTAATTGTCCATTAATGGTAAACATTCCATAAGCATTAAATTATCGTTAACATTTTGTATTATATTGTGTGAATTAAATCGCTCGACAAAAATGTCTTAGTGATTAATGACGGAAATGTTTATGAAAAAAACACTCTTCAGCTATGCATTCATGATTCATACCTATGAACTATAGGAACGCGTATATATACTGTTCACCAAATATTTATATTAACATTTTATACATAATATGGATTAATTTTATAAATATTTTGGTTTATTTTACTTATTATGAATATTAAATATACATTTGAAATCGTCGTTTTTTTTCAATAATTACGGATAGAAATGATTTGCTTAGTCAAAAAAACCTTGAAAATTTAACTCAAGATTCCTCATAAAATGTTTTCAACAAAAAAAGCTTGAGTGTAAATTCCAAAAATATTGTTTTATGGACGCTTGCAGTTAAAATGTTGACAAATTTTTTCAGTCATGAAAATTGCATATATTTTTAAAATTTTTTTATTTGAATTAAGCCTCGGCAGCTATGGCCATTAGCAACAAAGAGTTTAACTCTAAATTGTTTACATGATATATGTTACATATTAAATATTATTGATAAGGTTGTACTTAGTAATAAAGGTTATCATGTGTCTTATGTTGTCTGGATGGAGGGCTTCTGACAGATTGTTTGAAATGCCTTCTCGTCTATCCGTTTCATATGAAAGGCATTCAATTATGATGTGTTTGATTGAGCGAGGAGTACCGCAGCTGGCACGTAGGGGTGGGTCTTCCTTCTTCATCAGATACTGGTGGGTTATCGATGTATGTCCTATACGAATTCTGTTGATTGAGGTTTCCATTTCCTTGAGAAGTCTGGTGGAGAGGGCCATGTGTGGAAGGTAGATTTGATTTCCTTTAATTTTGAGGTACTTTGTTTCCATGCCCAATTGCATATATTATTTTGTAGTTAAAAATGCATATTTTGTTATGATAATATTAAAAAACGATTAAACTACTTTAAAACATGTTAATATGTCAGTTGATCATTCTAATATTGAAATAATAGAGTAAAATGGATTTTTTTATATTATGTAAAATTTTGTATGTAATGCATTTTAGCAATATAGAAACAATATACGATTTTTTTTAAATTTGCACAGTATATTTATACTATAAATTGTTTTATTAGTGATAAATACTATGAAATTAGTTGATTTAAGATTATATAATACACTTCAAAAAATCATTAAAAAAAAATAATAGTTGTAAACCGATAATATATAGGTATTCATAAGTGGCAACACTAATTAAGACATCTAAAATTTAAAATCCAACCCAAAATAATTGATAGTTGAAATCTATAGTCTATAATTGTAATCAAAATAACCAAAAATTAGAAATTTGTTGAATTTTTCAATAAGATTTAATGACAAATTTATGTATTATTGAGAAAATCCCTCTAGCTGTTACAGCCTGTCAATGTGTTCTATTTACTATTTATGTAATGGGTGTACTAAATTAAAGCACCTAGGTATATAATACTTACTTATTACTTTTATGTTACAAAAAAATTCACTTGAACTATATGTATTTATTGTTCTTTAAAAATGTGTACAATATGCTTAAATGCGTAGGTACATCATGAATAATGATTTTATATGAGCATTTCAGAATGCCACATATTCGAGTAGGTAATATTTGTTTTTGTCAATCCCATGTTCTCCTAATTAATTCTAATAGGTATTATGAAAGCGTTAGGAAGATATGTTTTTGACCATTTTAATTCGTATTTTCTTATCGGTTTTCATACAGTCGTTATTATCTACTGGTGTAATTAACGACTTCCGGTTGTTTTTATTCTTTACTTGGAATAATTGTTATAATGCCATATTAAATGTATTCAAATTATTGTTCGACTGTTAATAATGCGTTATATGTACACTAGCCTATAATTAGGTACCTAAATATTTCAATATTATTTCACAGTCTAAATTCCAAATGAAATGCCAATAAGTTTTAGTTCTAATACCTAAGTAATATTATAATATGATATTATATTCAATATATTGCCAAATAGAAGTTATATGATAAAATGTTAAAAAAGTATTTTTATTCGCTATTGCACTCATTTGTTTTTTTCGAGTTTTTCTGTTTACACTTATAATAAGTAATTTTTATCTTTATAATATCTCCTTATTTCTGAACCACTTGCAGATTGTAGACTTATTCTAGAAATAACTAATATTATACTACCTAGTTCAGCGGTTCTCAAACTTTTTTTTCGTGTACCACTTAAGTATATTATTAATCAGTCGCATACCACTAATGATTAAAAATAGAAAGATACAAACTTTACATAGTTAAATAGGTACATTTATTTTAAATAAGAATGCAGTAAAATATTACAATATAATCATTATTTATTTATTAATACAATTTTCTTAGTGTTTAAAAATTAAGGAATGAATTAAGTAACAATTTTTCAATGAGAACCATGGATTTGTAGATTTGATATTAGCGATGAAATATGAGGTTCAGTGTTACTTTAGTCTTTCGCGTACCACAGTTTGAGAACCGCTGACCTAGTAGAATAAATATTTAGGTACAATGTTATGTACAATATTACATTTTTCGAGTTTTCCTTGTGTACCTATGTGTAATGCGTATTGAAAAATATGTTATTCTTATAGTTATGAATAGCTCATTTTTTAATCAACTTATGTTTCATTTATTTTTGTACTGGACGTAAATTTAATAATATGGACTTACTATATAGTAGCTATTATTATTTCTTAGATCATTGAAGAATGTAAGATCTTTGTTCTATCCAATGAACAACTATGCATCTTGATGAAAGATATGGATGAAGCCATCAGGAACGGATTGGGCAAAGAAACTAATCCATCTTCGGTTGTCAAGTGTTATATCACTTATGTACAAGATTTGCCAAATGGCACAGGTAAAAATAATTCTGATAATTTTAATATGATTAGTTGTAGATGATATTTAATTAGTTTTTTCTTCCAGAAAGAGGTAAATTTTTGGCTTTAGACTTGGGCGGCACCAATTTCCGCGTGCTATTGATTGAACTGGGAGAGAATAACCAATTCCATATGGACTTTGAAACCTTCAAAGTTCCCAGTCATATCCAAACTGGCAAAGGCACAGAAGTAATTAAATATAGTCTTGTTATTAATTGATAACTAGGTACTATAATTATGTATGTCATTATGTTATGTAGTTATTCGATCATATTGCTAAATGTTTGGCAGAATTTGTAAAAAAGTACAATTTGGACAACAAAACGGCATTACCGTTGGGCTTTACTTTTAGTTTTCCACTTAGACAAGTTGGACTCACCAAAGGATATTTAAATAGCTGGACCAAAGGATTTGCCTGTTCGGGAGTGGTTGATGAAGATGTTGTCAGGCTTCTCAAGGATGCCATCAATAGGAGAAATGTAAATAATGATCAAATTACTAAAATCAATTAATTATTTTGTAATACATCCATTACATTTATCTCATCTATATTAAATGTATTTTCATAATACATATTAAAATGTATCAATATATTTAAAATCTTAGAATGTTAATGTAGCGTCTGAATCTAATCTGTATTTGATTATGGGACCAAAACTCTAATGAGGCATGGTCAAATAGTGTTTTTTTAATTATTATTTTGTAGGTTAGTAAGATAGGCAAAGGCAATGTAACAAAAACAATTAAACACTGAATACTCGTATTGGTTGTCGTATATGTTGATTACTTCAATATACACAATAAACCAGCATATAATATTATTACCAGCACATAAACACTGGTTTTTTGTAGTAATCGAGTCACAAGATAACCACCACTGACCTCACATGTGTCTAGTACTATGACTTATACATTATCGCTTAACTTAGTTTTTGTTTTGCTACATATGCTAAAACTTACTGACCAAGGCTTAATACTAACTATTGTTACATACATGTTTACTTAGCCTAGTTAATATTTTTAGTATTTTCTTGAGTATTGGGCTAGAAATTAAATATAATATATTTTTAAAGAATAATCGAAGATTATATCATAATTGTATAACACAAAAATATACGGATATATAGCATATTAATTACAGTATCTACCTACCTACCTACCTGTACAATTTTAATATTTTTGTTTTAAATAAACATATAATATAAAACTAGATATATAGTACATACAACTAGTCAAATAATTATAAATTTTTTTTTCAATTACTGAAAAATACAACGATTATTTTTTAAATGATACAAAGTCACAATTAAAATCTGGTTTATCCTTTTTTCGTATTTTTAATTCTATTGAGAAGATAATTATTTTGAATTAAAGTTTTTTTTTTTTGACTTCTAATGAACCTACGCTTCTAATTTTAGTAACATCTTCTGCTTAAAGTTTTTCTGCTAATATTATTCAATGATAAAACATGGTTTAAAATAGTGATCCAATCACCGGGTCTACATTTTTTAAATATACAATTTTACATTTACCGTTTACTTTTTTGAAAAAAATTTATTTAGCTTTTATTCCCGGTCACCCAAAATATTTACAATGCTCTTTTAATTTTAAATAAATCGTCATTATTTGTCAGCCAGGTTGTTATATATCTTTATATCTTTATACCAAATAAATAACAAATAAAAGAAGCAATCAAATTAACACAAAAATACAATATATAAATACACTAAAGTAGCCAGTAGGTATAAGTTAAAATATAAAACCATATAAAATAACTGTGTATACTGCAACTCGTTTATAAATTGTACTATTTTTTAGAGTGCAATCATGTTGGGTTTTTTCATATAAAATGGTATCATGTTACATCCAATCTTGTACCTACCTAATTTTTGAACAACAATATTACTATTTCATAGATTTTGCTGCATTATTTAAGAAAAGGCTAATTGTAATTTCTTAATTTAAGTGCTAGTAGCTCTCACATCCTTTGTTTAGTTTGATTTGTAATTTATTATTTTTTTAAACTCTTATAGGTGTTAAAGTATCGTGTATACCTATCTGCCTTAAAGTTTGTTCTTTCGTTGTTGCTTCATCTTGTTGGATACACATAATAATGAATTACCCTCCAAAATGATGGATTGTATGTTTCTACAATTTTCTTTCAATTTTTCTTCCCTTAAAAAAGGTCATTTGGAATGTTATTAAGATAAAAAAAGCCAAATCGGTCCGGTCGTTCTCGATTAATGCAGTTGCCAACAGACAGCATTTCATTTTTATTAAATAAATATTATACCTACTTGAACACTTTTTTTTATACTTTTGCTAATTATAATAATATATTCATTGTATATTTTGTTATAATTGTGTATATAACGTACCTAGAACGATCGATTTTAGTTCAATATTTACTGTTTTTGGCCCCTTGGCCCCTATTTAATCACATTGAACAACTTTTTAAAAAATTGTTTTAGTCAATTAGCCCACCAAATATTAATCAGTAATTACTAGGGTTTTAAAATTTCATGAAATGTATTTCCTTGAAATATTTCATGAAATATTTCATTGCAATGAAAAATAAAAATATAGATTGAAATAATTGAAAATAATAGGGTTTTGATTTTGATAATTATTTGCAGACCTATTTTTAAATACACCAGGAGAATTTGGCAAAATAAGAAACAAGTAATAGCCCGTCCATATAAGAAATTAATGTTGGGAAATGAACGTCTATATTTATTTAATAATCATATATTCGTACATTGTACCACTTAAACGCGATACTCTCCCCAGTCCCTAACGACGTTCATATGATTATAATTTATAATATTATATAAACAAAGAATTTATAATATTTGGTATATTTACATTTTTTTCATAAAATATTGTCAGCACTATTTTTCAGCACTATAAATAAAATATACAAGCATGAAATAATTAATCAACAATATTTATATTTTACTAAGTTTATTCTTTAATTCTTTTGAAAATGTTAACATTTACCTCTTAGATAAGAGAATTTCGGCCATTTTGTGGGCTTCAAAATCATTTCCAGTCGGCTATCTAGTATTTTTAGTTATCTGTGTAGTTCGCTTACCATGGTTGATATAAATTATAAGTGATAAGTTATTCACAATCAATATTTTCTGTGTATAATCAATATATTATTGAATTTATAATCATCTATAATCGAACACGTTTTAAAGAAAAAAAAATATTTTTCAATATTTCAAGGAGAGTGAAATTTTCAATTTTGAAATATTTCAAATTCAGAACCCTAGTAATTACTATTTATTTATTATTGTTTTAACCGGCTAGGCCTTTTTTACATGAATATGTACATTGTACAATTATAAAATTAATCTAATTAAAAAACGGCAAGTCTAGTATAATATATCATGGTCAAATAAAATTAACAAACATGTTGTAAAATATAAATATAATTAATTATAACAGTATTTGTATAATCTTCATAATATAACCAATAACAACCATTTAAGTTTGACATTAATTGTCTTAGTGTATAATTTGCTAAATAATTGGTGATAAACTAGTATGCAGGATTAAATAATTATAAAAATAACTTTTTGGAAAACATTTTATATTAACAAAGTAACTTAATTAAGCTAAAATTGTTTATAAAAATAACGACGGAAACTTAGCGTGCCTCTCGTTATTCCCCCCCCCCGTGCACGAATAAATATAGAATCATAGATATGTTTTTAAAATTATGATTAAAAAAAAATGTATAAACAATGTTGGTATGGAAAGGTAATTATATTTTAGTAAGTTACTAAGATAAATTTAGGTACTGTAGGAGACTAACAAAAAATAGCACAGACAAAAAATTACATTGCACCGAGCTCAAAAACATATTGTCTGGCTAAAACCCATTCGACTCTATTTTTTCAAAAGTTCAGTTTCAAAATGGCTGCAATTGTACAAATTTCTTTCTCAAATTTCATACAGACTTAGGAACTTAGGACTGTCTCAAAAGAGGTGAATATATGGGAACCATTTGGGTTGCACAAAAATATGTATATGTAAATAATTGAAATTATTTTCTTTATTATGTTATCCAAAAACTAAGTATTAAGGAATATTTCGAATACCTACTTATATCTACTTGTAGATACTATAGGTACTACAAATATGGATGGTTGTCTATAATTTAATATTACCTACTTAATAAGAGGTTTGTTTCAATGATCATTTTATTAGGACGTACAGATTGATGTGTGTGGAATATTGAACGATACAACTGGTACACTCATGTCATGTGCTTGGAAGACTCCAAACACCAAGATTGGACTTATTGTCGGTACGTTGCATACAATATTTTACTTATTAGTTATTTTCTCATTATGATATTTTTATTTTTACTATGATTTACTATTTTAATACTATGTTGAATTTTGTATAATATACTAACTATTGAACAAGGAACATTAAAAATTAAAGTTTCTATTATTAATAATTTACCAATAATAATATTTTCTACTTTTTTATTATTTTATTCTTAAAAAAAAAATGCACACTATTTTTTTTTATAAAAAAAGCGTAGGTACTATCTACATTATTATATAATCTAATCGAACAAGGTGAACTTGTTTGGTACATTTAACATCAAATATTCGGCGGCCTTCACAGTGAAAAACATAGGTTAGTTACCTCTTACCTCGAAAGTAAATGATAATATTATTGGTTCCTGTTGTAGGTCAAAAGTCAAGTTTGTAATCATATACTTACCTAATGATATGTTATAGTAGGTTTTCGTGGTGTTGCACTATATCATTATATTTTACTGTCTATCGAATAAAATGTAGAATAATCTTCATCGCTTCGGAATACAACTTATCAATAGTGGATTATTAACTTGTATTTAACCGATTATTTTTGGGAGCAAAAAACCATAACAACTACGTATGTTGTGGTTAGAAAGTGTATACCTACGGTTCTAATTTCTAACAACAATTTTACATAGGTGTCACGGATTTACTCACATTATTTAATTAATTATAAAGAATTGAAAAAGGCGCCTGACGTCATTGATCGGGCCATAATATATACTAATTGCCTATAAACACACGTGTAAACACGGGCGTCGGGTTTTCCAATTTTCATGGGGCGCTCAAAATTGAAAAATTCAACAAAGCATTATTTGTTAACTCGTATTAAAATTGTATAAAAACTCCTAAAATTAATATAAACAAGCTAAATTTGCTAAATTTGCTAAATTTGCTTGAAAAATGTTTAATTAATTAAGACCGATCTGGTTATTACAAATGTATAAGTAATACTAGCCACTATTTAATATTATAGTTCAAAATATAATATACTCAAGGCGACTCGTCGGTGTGCGGTGGTATTTTATTTTTAAACTATTTGATTTACAATTGTCAATTTTCAACTGGGTATTGAAAA